TTACAAGATTAATGCAAACAATAGCTCCTTTTCCTAAAAAGCTTGTAGTCTAATATTACAATACTGCAGTACCCATAGAAATATTTTAGCAATAGTGATAGAAATACTTGGAGTTGGCTGTAAGACTGCAGTCAAAATCTGTACCTTTCTACATGATTCATTGTAATTAAAGGCATCATCTTTATATCTAAAATTAGATTAATATATTAAAAGAGATTCATATAATAAAACAAAGTGTACAGCTAAATGCCAAAAGTTAAATACCTACAAATGTATTAAATAAACTGTGTATATATTAATGTATTAAGTAAGCTGTGTGCACTAATATAGAAAGATAAGACTATAGTGCAACAAATATGAGATAATTCTGATTCAACAGCCGGCCATCAGAACTTTAAGTCCTATGCTCCATTGAAAATAAACCCTTCAGGAACTTTTATTATATGAGTGATTTACACCACAAATTAAAGGTAAAAGAATCATGTTTTTGTTCTTGCTCTGCAAAATGTAGGCAAAAGCAGCAGATAGATTCATTCAATTCCAGCCAAAACTTCTAAGTGGATCAAAGAAATTAAAATAGCTTTTGTGTTTTTCTCTAAACATCCTTTAAGTGACCTAGCTGGATACTTTATTAGTACCATTTTTTTTTACCTTCACAAAGGATTCAAGATTATGATGCCTTGAGCAGGTAAGATTTTCAGGTTGAAACAAGATATAGAAATAACCAGAGCATTCTGGGGATATTTCATTTCTTCTTGGAAACTGACTCATCTGTACTTTCACAACCCACCTCACAGTATAAATTAAAATCCCCAGGAGCCTTCAAATTGAGTCTGAAACAGTAACACTGCAAGAAACTACAAGTATTGAAACAATAGATACTATGAAATTACTAATAACATTTAGGAACAGGATTTAATCTGGAACATTAAAAATCTTTAGACTTTGGGAAAAAACATTCCATAAATTGAAAATATCTGACACTGTGCTGGATAGTGTTTGTGCCACAAAAAGATTGAACTATAAATTAGCCAACCATGCTAATATGTTGTGCATCTACAACTCCTGAGTGTTATCTTATTGTTCAGTATGTACAACCCCAGAAATATGGACCTAGTTGGAACTGAATGGTATAAAAATATAGATTATTAAAATAAACAGAACTGAGTAAACATGTAAACACAGCATCAGGCCCTCTATCCATTTGCCCCTTAATGCAGCACAATCATGCCATAACAACATTCTTCCTTGTTCGTTTGATGTTGGTTTCATCTGATTCCCATCTCATAACCGAGCCGAGGTGGTGCAGCAGTTAGAGTGCAGTACTGCAGGCCACTTTAGCTGACTGTGTTCAGCAGGTCAGTGGTTCAAATCTCACCGGCTCAAGGTTGACTCAGCCTTCCATCCTTCCGGGGTAGGTAAAATGAGGACCCAGATTGTTGGGGGCAATGTAATATATATACATTGTATATATATTACAATGTATATATACATTGTAATATATATACATATATATATGTAGGTCTTTGGTTGTTCGGGTTTTCTCCCGCGTAAAATTGGAAGTGTCTTGGCGACGTTTCGACGAAGTCCCATTCGTCATCTTCAGGCTGGTGTTTTCAGCTTCGTGCTTTGAGCAGCAGTCATTGCTGCTCAAAGCACGAAGCTGAAAACACCAGCCTGAAGATGACGAATGGGACTTCGTCGAAACGTCGCCAAGACACTTCCAATTTTACGCGGGAGAAAACCCGAACAACCAAAGACCTACATACAAATACCCGCGAAAACCTCAGAAAACACACACACACACACACACACACACACACATATATATATATATATACACACACACACACATACACATTGCTTACTGGTGTACACCGCTTAGAGAGTGCTTGCACTTAAAGCGGTATATAAGTCTCATAAATAAATAAATAAATAAGTCAGGCAAACTTAAGTCATCATAAGCTGTATCTATGTAACTGCAGTATATTTTCCTTCTTCGTCTAACAAATCAATTTCCTTCTTCATCTACAAATCAATTTCAAGGTGTTTAAAATCTGTAACATTTTACCACCAATTACCCTCAAGGAAAATCTGGTGACCACTAGGATGGGATTGTATTTTGGGATTGTGGAGAGACGGAAACTAGCCCCTTCCCTTTAGTCACTACCGTGTTTCCTGAAAATAAGACCTGGTCTTATTTTTATTTTTAGCCTCCATGTCTTATTTTTTTGGGGGGGTGTCTTTTCCACTCACCTTGCAACAGCAGCACCAACAGCCCCGCCCAGCCGGCCCACTTCTTCTGCGGCCGAAGGAGCAGCTTCATTCTGCAGCTGAGAATGGAGCTCCGGCCTGCATTTCGCAGTCAGAGGCCTTTCTGGAAGGCCTGTGCAGCCAAGAACCAAGCTACGGATTGAATCCATAGCAAGGCAAGTGTCAATCAATCGGGGACCTGGCTGCAATGGTAAGCTCCATCTCCTACCTCAGCTTGATTTTTAGGCATGTGCCTTGCCCCAAAACTAAGGCTTATTTTGGGGGTAGGGCTTATATTAGGCCCATCCCCAAAAATCAAGCTAGGGCTTATTTTCGAAGTAGATCTTACTTTCAGAGAAACATGGCAGTCAGCTTCTAACTACACTGTTGCTCTCCTAGCCGTTACCATCTCCTTCATGACATCACTTTCTTGAATTCTTTTCATGACATCACTTTCCTTCTTCAGTTGGTGGACATCAGCTTCTCTGCAGGCTTCCAATAGTGGCAGATTGCCACTATTTCAATTAAACTTTGTATTTGCCACTTCTTTTCACTTCCTAGCCCTTCCGAGAGGCAGTTGTCCAGCTACTTACTAGTCATGATGAAATATACCTCCTTTCTCTCGAGGGTTACTTTAGGGTTGGCATTTCTTTTATATATGGAGATACACAAATGGGAAGACCAGACCAGCACAGAGAAGCCAAAGAGTCCTAAAATCTCACCCATCCTATATTTGCAATTTAGCACTCTGAATGGTGATGTTTTGTTAGGTATGAGAAAAAGTAAAGGAGAAAACAAGTCATTTTGTCTAATTATGAGTGTCGCACATACATACAATATCCTTCAGCAGATATTTGGTACAGAGGTAACAGAGGCAGGACACAAATTAGCAATGGGGATAGCCAAGGCTGATAGTCTCCCGGTCATTCCAGATGATTTGTGGAGTTCGAAAGAAGCTATATAATATTTTATGCTGCAAAGTGAGGCAATGCAAAAAAACCAATAACATTTTCACAATCTGCAAGGAACTGATTTCCCTCTGTGAACGTTCTAGAACTCCTGGTGTGAAATTTAAGAATCACCTCTAGTACATCTGTTAAAGCCACTAGTGAGACTGCTCCGATTTGTTTACCACACTAACCCTCAACTATCAACAGCTTCTGAAAAAAGAGGCAAGAACAGGTTTGGCATATAGTACTCAACTTGGAGGAAAAAAAATACAGCAATGACTAATTAATGAAATGAACAGGTCACATTTCTTTTTTAAAAAATACTAAGTCCTGGTATTTCAATGTAGATTATTTTGGTGGCACTGTTTGCTTAAAATGAGAGATTATAATATTGTATTAATCATCTTCTTTTTCACATATATACAACACAAAACATTTCCTGAAAGGACAACTTATGGTTTACAGGTAAAGGGGCAGATAATAAGTCCCAAAATAAGCAAATGGCATGGAGCTATTATATGTATTTCTTTCTGTTACCTCTGTACCAAATATTTGAATAATTCCAACTATATTGAAATTTAAGGTGACTTTATATTCCATAACCAGATGGATTCCCTTCCAGGCATTGATTCAGACTAGGCCTCCTTACAGTAATAGTTTGATCCAGGTGGGTGCATCATGTGCTCACTGGTAAAACAGTCCAAGGAACTTCAGCAGAATTGACATTTTGGGCGAGTGTGGCCTGGAAATGTTGAGTTAGTAAGTTGTATCCCCAACCAGTGCAGCTTTTTCCTTAGGACATTTAGTAAAGTTTAATTAACTGTTTTACTAAATGACAATGCAGTCATTTCTTTCTGTCCATAACAGACTGTCCTGTCTGAAGTAACCCATTCCTCAACTTTAATAAGAAAATCTAATGATGTATACAAGAGCCCTGTAAAGACAACTGCATGGCAAGCTACTTTACTTAGTAAAACATACAGTGAAAACAAATGCCCACAGTGCTTAGGAAACACAGACTTATACCTACAGCCAAACTGAGTTTACTTCAATGAAAATTATGTCCAGCTCAGATAAACCAAGCATGAAATAACTGGGAACTTGACAACTAATTTTGGAAAATGCTAATGATAATTCATTAGAAAACTGGGATGCCTTGTTTACAGTTAACCTCTCTGCCTTTAAATGCTGCTGGTGGGACAGAGACCTGAACTCAAGACAACACCTTTCCCATTCAAAGGTCCTTCTTTCCGTCTTGGAAAGACCTTCGCAGCTGCCACCTCAGCCATCCCCGGGTTTACTAAGGTCACTCATGATACCTGCAGCCTCCTGTCCCCGCTACGGACATCCTGGCCGAGCAGCCTCACGAGAAAAGCAGACACTTCCCTGAGAAAAAGCACATCGCTTTTTCCGGCTCCCCCGCGGAATCCGAAAGCGAAGGGATGTGCGGATGAGGAAGTTATAAGTAAGTCGGCTTCCTTCTCCCGTTGCTCGGACATAAGAGCGAGAAGGAGAGAGGCAACCAAGACCATGGGAGGGGGGGGGGGGGATTCATGGAAGATTAAAAAAAAAAAAAGGAAAGAGAGGGAGAGCGGGAGAGCGAGGGGGCGATGGGGGAGAACACCCCGACTTGCTACAACGCCGCTGTCCTATTCCGCTCCTAACACGGGTTTGTTAAAGGGCTGCCGGCTGTCCCTCTAGCCGCGCAAGCGAGGACCTTGCTCGAGGGATGCTTCAGCGGACCTTGACGGGGCCCTGGAGAAACGCAACTGACCTGCCGGGCTCGGGACGACTTACCCATGTTTCAGCCACAGGAAAAGGAAAGAAGGCGAGAAGGCTTTTTTCCCCTCCCGGCGGCGGCTTCTGCTGCTCGTGGTCTGCTTCGCTCTCCGCCTCTCCCGCGCCAGGGAGAAACAGGCGGGGCCCGGCGGGGCTAGTGCAGCTGCTTGCGGCCAAGAGGCGCAGGGCAGGGCAGAGGCGGAGACGCGGGAGGAGGGGAGCAGGCAGGGGCAGCCCGAGCGCGCCGTGCCTTTCCTGCCGCGCCTGGTTGCGTGTGGCTCTCTGGGTGCGCCTGGGTGCACGCGCGCCGCCGCCGCCGCCGGGAGGCGAAGGGTTGCCCGCGCCCGCGCTGTGGCTCTCAGCAGCAAAAGGAGGCGGAGAAAGAGGGGAATTTTCCGGGGTGGTTGCGCGAGGCAGGAGAGCCGGCGCGTGCGCCGCCCGGGCTCAGGCCGGTCCACCCTGACGGCGCCTTTGCCTAAAGGGGAACGAGGCGAAGAGGCTTCTGCGGCCAGAGAAACGGAGGCGCGTCCGTTGAATCTGGAACTCCGGCGTTTGGGTACACGCGGGCAAGGCCTGCCATGAGAAGCGCAAACCTGGCAACACCCAAAGGAGGAGGGGGAAACGAGCACTCCAGCTGGAGAGGCAGCGGCGGCGGCGGCGTTGGCGTTCAAGGCGGGAGCGGAGACCGAGTGCGCGAGCAGCACGTCGGGAGGCAGCGAGATTTTCCGTATTTGCCCAGCCGCCACACCTGACTTTGGCCTGCCTGAGTGGTCGTGACGTCCGGGGTGGGGTTGAATGTTAGGATACGTTGATATTACTAGAATGCAACGGGATTCTTTAAAAGAAAATTGCTTGATGATTTTCATCTTTTTTTTAAAAAAAAGTATTAAAATAACTATTCTCTCTTTACTCGCAGAACCCACGGTAGGATGCAGTGGGTGAAACAATCCAAAAAACAGGAGGACCCCCATATAGCAAACTATGGGTGTGGAGGGAACATTTTGCCATTGTGACCTCAAAGCTTGGATGAAAAACTAGATTATAAATTGGTATTTTACACAGCAAAGGAACCCCAGCCAGAATGTCTCTCTTTTCATTGCACATTGAATTATGCCAGTATCTGTAACCACCTGGCTTCACATACATGCATGAAACCAAAGAAAGCAAACTACTTTGTGGCTGAAGGTATAATATGCCCCAGGTGGTAACATTCTGCTCCTAAGGCACAATCAGTTTCTAATTCAGTGGGAGCATACAGGATGGGCATTTTGAATTGTTTAAGTCTCTATCACTGGGACAGTGATGCTTTCCATACTGAAGCATGATACATGCAACATGCATTCGTACCCATTATATTATTGCTTATTATATTATGCAATATCCAGATGTTTTCCTCTTTTTATCCTTCCGTTTTGTTTCCAGACATACTACTGCAAATTAACTATGGATATATGGTGTGCATATAATTGAATCTAATATCAGAGAAGAACTAAATAAGTGATAGTAGTATGTATATACGTATATAATTATTATGCTACTTCTTTTCCGGGTAGATAGCATTATGCAAGGTGCAGAAAAGAAACAGCCAAAGAATCTCAAGACATTTTTTATGTTAGCTAAATCAGTGTTCATTATACCTCTCTGTCAGTCAATGGCAATGAGAATCTGCCAGTGTCTCAATACAGTGCTCCACAAATTGCTCGATGCAAGCAACAGTACCTGGATTACTCCTAAAACTGACATTATGTACTGAGAAAAGAGAATATCTGTACCCCAGGGATGAACTGTGGAGTCCTTGGTGTTCTCTTGCAGATACTTCATTGCTACTAGGTAACATAACACCAATTATTATTTATTAAATTTATTTGCAGCCCATCTTGTTTCAAAGCAGCTCTTGGCATCTTACAGTATAAAAACATTAAAATCATCAGAAATAAATATTCCTATCAATAAAATGACAGTACAATCAAAATAAAATCATAGGCACATGTTGGGACAGGAGAGAGACAGATTGAGGAGGTGAGGTTGGGTCTTAATTATCAGCTACCTCCAGTGTGATTACTCCCTCATTGGGGTCCCAAACCATCTGGCAGATGGTTTGGGACCCCAAGGCTCTTAGGTCAGAAGAGTGGGAGCCAATCTCACCTTGGGACAAGATATTTCAAGGGCAGGAGCAACGATGATGTTACCTAGTTGGGTAATGAAATGTCTGCAGGAAAACGACCAAGCTCCAAGGACCTCAAAGCTATGTGTAATTTTACAAAGGGCAAAATTCCATGAGTTCAATTCCCAGTAGAGGCTGTGAACCGCACAGAGTAATAGCTGGCTCTCTTCATCGAATGAATCAAAAAGAGAATGAAAGCAGTCATGTAGTGCTTCTTCCTGTGGTTAATATAGGTGATCTGAAAGTAGAAGACATCAATCCATTGTCACAATCAGGTCATCGGCATCTTGAGATTGATACCCACCTTTGTGGGAAAATATGTGTGTGGACCTAGTAAATTAGCCTGCTCTAAGCACTTTTGAGCTTCGAGAAGTTGCCTAGGAGGTGGTTATCTGGAAAATCTATTTATTGATTGGATTTAATTTGACTTTTTAAGGTGCTTCAAATCCAACCACCACCACCCCTTTCCATATGGCTGAAACATGTCTTTATATTTTCTATACATTTTCTAATTATAAGAAAAGAACTTTGCTGTAAATTGCTATTTAATAACAGCACTGACTGATCTACTTCACTGGGCATTCTTTTGTTATTTTTATTACAATTGAATTACATGGCAACCAACTCTTGAAAAAGATAGGAAACAATAAGAAAGGAAAAAGGTAATTTGCAACCAGAAAAACCACATTCTGGGTATCTTAAAATGTAACAAACAGGCTACTTTATTCAAGACCTGGAAGAATAGCCAATTTATTTTAAAGACTTCCAAGACATCATTAGGCTGGAAGCCATATATCTGACTGGATTAATGGCTCTGTGTTTTCTAGGGAATTTAACAAAATATGTCCAGTGAACAGATCTAACACAGCTGAGCTTTTCTGAAGCAGAGGTTCTTGCAAACCATCAAACATTGCTTAGAATGCACACTGTACCTGTAGCTCATGTTTTGTATATAAAAGAACTCAACTTCACTATCTGCTACCTCCTGTTAAAAATCCAACCTCTGGAGAAGCATTTCCCTAGAACTGGCAAATGTCAGTTTTTGAACTTTATTGTAATCTTCCTCAGTGAAACTGCTAGTATTCTGCAGGCCTGAGACCCAAAGGGAAGGAAGGAAGGAAGGAAGGAAGGAAGGAAGGAAGGAAGGAAGGAAGGAAGGAAGGAAGGAAGGAAGGATGAATGCAGAAGACCTGTTGCTCAGATCCACTTTCATCTGACTTGGTATACAACAACTTTACATATAAACATTTGATATACATACATTTAATCTATGTGCTGTTTCCCTTCATAAATGCAGAATTTAAGCTTGCAAAGGCATAAAAAGATCTTTCTAAACTTAACCTCCACTGCTGCAGTAGATATATTAAATTCAGTTAGAATATGAAATTCTGTATCATCTCAATCAAAAGCAATCATTTCCTCTCCTTATCTGTTGCAAATTAACACAGAGCACTTTTCTTTCAACAACACTTTTAAATTTGACACCTGCAAGATGCAATTTAATGTGTGGTATGTTCTTCAAACATAGCCTATATGGTCACTTTATGATTTAGGGGACCATACAAACCCAAGAAATTGGGTTGGGTGAATTTTGGTTAACATGACATGAATAAATATTTTGCATTAGGCACAGCTATTATTATGATCTGCTTTTACATTGTGAGTGCTTTTCTCGCAAAAATAGAATAAAATAAATATATAAATCAAAATGGTAAATAATTGATTTTTTTCTTTTAAATAAAGGCATCAATGAAAAAAATAATGATATAAAATTGTCAGAATAAATTTGTTGTCATATTGTTACTACAATATTTTCTTTAATATTCCATATCTTTTAGAGCTACGGTATGCAATGTAGAATTGTCATTTTGATGGATCTTTCAAAATGTCGTCAGAATTCTCTGAAATAAAGAATGTTATAGCACAATTTCCGCTATAAATTACTTTTATTTGAATAGGATATTTTGAAAAATATTTATGACTTTCAGGAAGATCTGAAAAAAAAATACAAAAGCTAATTTTATGACAGCAAAACAACAAATTATTTCAGATAACTTCCCCTCTCAAGATTTGTTACATTAAAACTACCATCACTCAGAGTTTGGAAATAATGTTCATATGATTTAAAAATTACTCCTAGTGTAAGTGGCTTAAGAGCTATGAACTAGTGATCTGAATCTCGTTCATAATATTGCATGCTGATTTGCTATCAATAAGATTTGCAGATATGTATGAGAAAAATATGAAGAAATGAAAACAATTAGCTGCGGGTAGAGCTTGGAGATAACCTGCATGAGATATTCTGTGGGAATATGGAAGCTACTGCATTGGCAGCCTTGGGACCAGTCACTCTGAGTCCAATTCACCTCACAGGGTTGTTACAAGGAAAATAGGAGGAAGGTGCTTGGATATTTTTGTCGTCTTGAATTTGTTTGTAAAAATACTAAAGGTAGGACATACATAAATTAAATAAATTTAATTAATTAATTAGATAAATAAATAGGCTATCTATTGTTAGATCTCTTATTTCCCTTGAAATATCTTAGACTCTTTCAGCTAAAAAACAAAATTGCAGCTGTCTACCCATGCAACTTTATTTTGTATTGGTTGAGGAAATACAATAATATTGATGTCAGGAAAACATTTTGCAAAAGAAACGGAATAAATCATACCATTTGATATTCTGACAGAGAGAAAAATCGACTTGGCCTTAGACAAGCAAGTCTGGATGACTGAGGAAGTCCATGAGGAAAAGGAACAGGTGAGGGAATACTACAAGCAGTACTAAGAATCAGCTGACTTCCTCACAGGTGGAAGAACCTGAAAGAGTTTATTCCTCCTGATAACAAAGAAAGGCATCCAGATTTGACGCAGGTATTAACAGTTTGGATTCAAACCTCAGTAAGTGCCAGGCTCAGGCACCTGTGTGTAGTAATAGCTGCAGAAGTATTTCGACAGATGTGAGCATTGTATCCTATCTAACAAAATGAAGTTCAATGATGAGAAAAGTAATTTTCTACATTTAGGCAAGAAAAACTAAATGCATAAGTACAGAATAGGTGGTTCCTTGTTCAGTCATAATAACTGTGAGAGGGATCTTGGATTCTTGGTGGACAATCACTTAAATATGAGCCAGCAGTGTGCTGCAGTTGCCAAAAAAGCCAACACAGTCCTAGGCTGCATTAACAGAGGCATAGAATCAAGATCATATGAAGTGTTAATACCACTTTATAATGTGTTGGTTAGACCACACTTGGAATATTGCACCCAGTTTTGGTCACCATGCTATAAAAAAATGTGGAAGTGTGTAAAAGGATCCTGGGAAATGGAGTTTAGTAGAAAAATAATTTATTTCAAACTTACTGAGACATTTAAACGACTTGTCAACGGCATCAGAATATGGCAAAACATAACTAAATAAATGATACAGGTTATACATTTATACATTGTAATACAGTAAGTCATAAAGTACTGTTTTTGATTTGGGATAGATGAAAATTGATATTGCAAGGCACATTTTACGACTTTGCTTGTATTTCATCCCCTGCCAACTATAGAGTAAATTACAAATAAGCAAACCATAGCTTAGTGAAATGTGTGGACTCATCATTATGAAATGGGAGCTTGGACTTTAATGTTGATGAACTTGAACGTATATCTATACAGAAGAACTGTACTTTAAAATAGGAGACAAAATGTTCCATTGGAAACCCTGGAAGGAATTTTGAAAACAGTACAAACTTTCAATCAGTTATTTTGCAATAATTATTTAAGGATTTTTCTTGACTTTGAATCAAATTTTGCCTCTCTAATCTACAACAGTGATAAAGTGGTCATCTCAAACATGTTTTAATGGCTCGATATAGACCAAATACTTTAAGTCAATGTCTGAACCTAAACCCATATTATATGTGTATTAAAAACTAAGTATTTTTAAAGGTGATACTAATAACTTTTATGGCTCATCAAGAACATTAGAATAATGGCACAACAATGATTGCTAGTCCCAAAAAGGTCAAATTTATTTGAAAGTTTCTAAGATTAAAATTGATTCATCAAAATATTTTATTTCAATTCTACTGGACATTTCAAGGAATTTAATTGCAAAGAGAGATACCAGATTTCTGTTGGCAATGTAAAAAAAAAATAGGAGTTATTGATTTGTATGGTTTGGTCTCGTGAATTATTGAGTTCTTTGGGGAATAATAGTTTAATATTTTAAGAACACTTTGGATTTGTGTTAATGGATTTTTTCACCCTTTCCCGTGTGGACAGTCCTGGACCAAGAGAAACTTCTTGGGTAAGATATTGAAGCCTAATTTTTAGGAGGGTGGGAAGTGCAGGATTTGAGATGGGTAGCAGACTGATTAGTATCAAGAAAGTCTGAAAGAAATTAGTATCAAGAAAGTATTAACAGCTTAAGGAAATATTGGTCATTAACTGACATACTCAGGTCTATTTATTTCAGTACAGCTAAATGCCTAACTGTGTTTTTATGTGTATACACACTATGAAGCATCCCAAACCATAATATTCAGAAGACTTTTGTAAGTGTGGGTGCATAGACTGAGAAAGAGAGGGTTTATATACAAAGACAATGGAAAGTCCAATGCTTTGTTATCTGTTCAGAATAATTCCATTTAGCTTCTGCAACAGGAATCTTGAATCTTTTGGGAACAGTAGCACTTCTGGAATGTTGAGAACGTTGTGCACATTCTCACAAAGTATTTGCCATGCAAAAGTTGATCAGTCACAAAACTCACATTTATTAAGTCTTATTGCTAAGATTATTCACAGCCACCTATTCAGACAAGTTCTGTTTGGAAAAATTTAAAAACTTTCTCTTATAATTTTCATTCATCTTTCTTTGTT